GAAAAATATTTCTCCTTTATAAAGCAAATGGAAACTCCTCTGAACATCGGAGTTGCCAAAAATGGGGAAAGTTTAATTGGGACTACGACAGGTACAATAATTTCTTATAGTAGAGTTGATGGTGAAGAAATTCTGTGTAAGTTTGAAAACGTATACTACGTACCTAATCTAAGGTACAACTTATTATCAGTTGGTAAGATCGAACAGTTGAACTTTAAAGTTGTGTTTGAAAATGGTCTTGCAACAATCACTCAACCTAGTGGAAATGTAGTTGCTGTTGCATGCAGAATGAGAACTCTGTATGGCATAACTTTCTCTCTAAAACCAAATACTTGTGCAAATAACTGTATTGATACACAAATTGATGAGAGTTTGTCTCACAAAAGGATGGGACATCCAAACAAAAGTTATTTATGGATGTTGAGAGATATGGTTACTGGACTAAATCTTAACAAGAATGATATTCCGGACTTCTGCCAAACATGTGTAGAAAGCAAGCACTCAAGAAAACCATTTCAATCAAGGTCTTTTCAGACTCGTCGTCCGCTGGAAATTGTGCACAGTGATGTGTGTGGACCAATATCACCAACTACTTGGAACGGTAAGAAATACTTTCTTTCATTCACTGATGATTATACCCGTTTTTCAATTATTTATTTATTAGAAAAAAAAAGTCAAGTGTTTCAATGCTTTCAAAATTATGAAGCAACTGTAAGTGCATTTTTTGATTTAAAAGTTTCCATATTGAGATGTGACAATGGAGGGGAGTATGTAAGCAATGAGTTAAAACGTTTTTGTTCAGTTAAAGGAATTATTGTTGACTATACTGTTCCTTACACACCTGAACAAAATGGTTTAGCAGAAAGATTGAATAGAACATTGGTAGAAAGAACAAGATCATTGCTGTTACAATCAAACTTGTCAAAAGAAATGTGGGGAGAAGCAGTACTCACGGCCGCTTATTTGGGAAACCGACTACCAACACATGCAAATATAAAGAAGACTCCTGTTGAGCTTTGGACTGGAAGTAAGCCTAACTTAAACAATATTAGAATCTTCGGATGCGTTGCTTTCGCACACATACCAGACCAATTGAGGCGTAAGTTAGACTCAAAGTCAAAAAGATGTATATTTGTTGGTTATACAAAAAATAGTTATAGGTTATGGGATCCATTAACAAAGACTGTGTTTGTCAGTCGAGATGTCATATTTAATGAAAAAGAATTGTTAAATCCTATAATTACTAATAATGAAAAGAAAATACTTGTTGAAATAAACAATTCAGAAATTGCTGAGGAATCAAAAGAAACCACTGAACAAGAATCTCAAGATGAAGAAAGAAAAACAGAAAATGATGTGGATAAAGTCATTGGAAATAATATACCAACACAAGAACAATTGAAAAGAAACAGGAAAACTCCAACGTGGCATAAGGATTATGAAATGTCAATGATGGCACTTTCTGCTGAATACTATGTTCAAGATTTACCAGAAACTGTTGAAGAAATCAAAACTCACCCAAATCATACTCAGTGGAAAGCAGCTATGGAAGAAGAAATGAGAGCTCTTAATGAGAATAATACATGGACTTTGGTTAAAAGACTGCCTAACAAAAGGGTTATGAACAACAAGTGGGTCTTTAAAGTTAAAACTGATGAACAAGGAAATGTTATACGATTTAAAGCAAGACTTGTTGTCAAAGGCTATTCTCAAAAGTTGGGTTTTGACTATATGGATACCTATGCACCTGTAGCCAACATAGTGACTGTTCGCACATTACTATCACTGGCACTACACAAAGACTTGCATATTATTCAAATGGATGTGACAACAGCGTTTCTGAATGGAATAGTTGAAGAAGAATTGTACATGAGACAACCTGAGGGTTTTGAGAAAGGGGAAACTTAGTTTGTAAACTAAATAAATCATTGTATGGTTTAAAACAAGCTCCTTATTGTTGGAATAAAAGATTTAATGAATTTATTGAAGGGCAAGGATTAGTAAGAAGTAATTCTGATCGATGCTTATATATAAAAATTAATAGTAATGTATGTTTATTTTTACTATTGTATGTGGATGATGTTCTAATAGTGAGCAACTCTATGCAGTCAATGAATGACTTAAAAAGAACACTGAAAGAAGAATTTAAATTAACCGATCAAGGCGAAGCAAAATCATTTCTAGGTATTAAAATAGAACGTACTGAAGACTCTATGAAAATTAGTCAAACTCATTATTTGGAAAAGTTGCTGAAGAAATTTTCAATGGAAGACTGCAAGCCAATATCGACACCTATGGAAACCAAACTTAATACAGAAAATGGAGAGGCAACTAATAAACCTTATCGCGAGTTAATTGGCTGTCTAATGTATGTAATGATTCAAACAAGACCTGATTTAAGCGTTGCAGTGAACTTGTTTAGTCGATATCAGTCTCAACCGACAGACAGTTTATACATTCAACTCAAAAGAGTACTACGCTATGTGAAGGGTACTACTGATTTTGGTCTTATCTATAAAAAGGGTAAAGAAGTAAGTCCACTAAGGGGATTTGTTGATGCAGATTTCGCTAATGACATCAACGATAGGAAATCTACCTCTGGATACTTATTTCAAATATATGGATCCACAGTTTGCTGGTCTACAAGAAAGCAATCAACAGTAGCAATCTCCTCAACAGAGGCTGAATATCTAGCATTGGCATCAGCTATACAAGAAGCTATGTGGCTCAAAGGTTTACTTGTTGAAATGTGCGTTATAGGAGCAGATGAACAAATTGTTTTGTATGAAGACAATCAATCCTGCATCAAAATTGCTGAAGAGCCAAGAAAACATCAAAGACTTAAACATCTAGATACCAAGTACAATTTCATTAATGAATCAATTGCCAACAATGAAATAAAATTGGAGTATGTTCCATCAGAAAATCAGCTAGCCGACATTCTTACTAAACCACTGTCGGCTTCAACATTTATGAGACTGAAGAAACTTATTGGTGTCAATGAATACTAAGATTATTTTTTTTATGGTTTATATTAAATTAGTCAATAGTCAAGTATAATATTGTTATTTGTTTTACATTATGTTTATTTATTATTATTATTTTACCTATGTTATATGTATACTTGAAATTTTTAATTAATGTTTGTAGTTACAAGATTAAGTGGAAGTGTTGTTAATTGTTATCACTTTTGTTATCACCTTTCTGTTGTAATCTTGTTGTGTACACTTAACCTAAATGTGTGAATACTATAACGTTGTTTTTTGTTCTGTCATTATAAAACCTCGTTATGTCTTGAACTTAAAAGCGGAGCTGTTATTCTTTTTGTCCTTTTACATTAAACAACACTCTGCAGCATTTATATCTGTTATTGAATATAATATATTATATTATAAGCGTATTAAACTTAATACAGCATAATATAATATAATATTTTATATATTATTACTATTATAATATGTACGTAGTCACAGCCCGTTACAAAATTATTAAAAATAATACGGTCTTATAAGTCCTATATTTCATTTAATATTTGATATTATCAAGTGGGATCAACACAGATATGTTTTATATGCTTATCTACACTACATATTAAAAGTTTACCCCCCGCTTCATATTTTTCATTTAAGTATAACTCCGTTGCTATTTATGTTAGAATCTTCATTTTTACATTAAACATTTTTAATATTAATTCTTTATAAGCCCCCCTAAAAGTATCATATTGTAAAATCATTTTCAAAGATTTTTGGATTTTAATAACGCGTGTCCGAATGGGACACGCGTTAAATATTGAACATTTTTTAACAGAACAATTCTATTAAAAAATTAAATTAATAATATAGTTATATTCTAAGTTTTGCAATATCAAAAGCACATATTTTAATATCTCCTAAAGTTTTCATTACACTAATATTATAGAGATATTTGAATGAATCTGGACCGTTTGTAATTATTTGATCATTAGCTATTTTAGAAAGTTCTTACCAAGTTGGTGATTGTAGACATTTAGAAACATAAGTTGGTACTGATCGGTTCCCGATGATTAAAATTTTTCCTTTAATTGGAATTTTATTTAGATTATATTTTATTATTTTTTTATTATTTTCATAATATTCAAAAGCACAAAATTGCACATAACATTTTTTAATTTTTTTTATTTAATATATAGTTTTTTACTTTGTTTTGCATTTGGATTTCTTGTAGCTTATTATAATTGTTTATAGTTTCCATTCTTTTATTATAAATTTCAATTCCTTTAACTAAGGTATTCAATTTCTTTTAAAATATTTTTTAATACACTATATTGCATTTCAATTTTTATTTTTAATAGAAAAATTATATTAAAAAATATTTTGATTATTATTGCATTTCGATTTTAATTATTAATAATTAAGTTTTGCGGAAAATATTTTTATTATTATTGTATTTCATAAGTTTTGTGAAAAAATGTTTTAATTATTATTGCATTTAATAAGTTTTGCGAAAAATATTTTTAATTATTATTGCATTTCAATTTTCTGATCTTTTTGCACATTGTTTTCTTTGTGATCTTTTACTGATATAATATTATGAGCTGCAGCTTAAAGGTGCTATGCCAGGATTGGTATAGTTATACTACTATCGCTCTATGGAAACCTTTGAGTTACAAGGCATGTGTGTATGGCGGATTGGATGCACGATGTTGCGCCGTCAGCACTTACGTTGACAGCAGTTTACTGACGACTCGCGGGTGTGTGGGAGCAAAATGATGAAGGTCCGAATATAGTGTGCCAAAATATAATATTTATAATAACTAATAAAGATGCAATGCCGAAGACGTCTCTTCAAACAACTGCCACAATAATAATATTAAAACAATGTGATATCAAATAATTATATGGTACATAACGGGCACACACAGGTGCACAATATACAAATAAAATAGACAACAAAATACAATAATTATAACATGTATTAACGATACCGCAGATCACCACGGCGATTTTCGCAGTGTCCTCAAAATGACATGTACCCGGCAGAGACAGCTAGGCAGGTGTGAGGTCACTGACCTCTCGCAAGATGCGTCACAACGACGCGACGTAGAACTGACGAACGCCCACGGTCACGGCGAGCAATACCGGACGGCGGTGCAAAAGGGACCACACGCGTGCAAAGAAGTAAAGAACACGACACGGTTTTACGGGCGGCACAAAAGGCAAGCACCCAAACGGACTCAACCACGAGGTTTTGTGGTCAGAGCACACGAACAAAAAAAAAAACGGGCTTGAGTCGTAACGGAACGGACAGTCCGACCGTAGGTAGAAGACAGCGACGGCCGAGCTACGGACAACCGGTGTCCAGCGAAGCCGGTCGCCAAAAAGTTCGCGCAAGCGCACTTCGGCGTCGGCACGTCAACGGGATGACAACAAGTGTCAAACGGACACACTGTTCGTAATAAGCGCGAAAAGGCTCAAGTTCGAACACACGACCCGTCGCATGCTAGATGTAATGTGAAAAAACGGGAAATTCAAAAAGAAATTAAGTCGTATAGCTGCCGCAATTTTTGAGTGTCTAGGTCCTAGGTCCTAAAAAATACGGTAGACATGTTTCTTTCAATTAAAAATAATAATGAAATAATTCCTATTATAACAGAACATTTAGCATTATTAGAAGAAAAAATCACGAAATACTTTACTGAATTGAATATTGAAAAGTATGATTGGATACGAAATCCATTTTTTACCATCAACACGTCAAGTTATGAATTTACGTTAGAAGAAGAGGAAGAATTCATAACGCTAACAACAGATCGAACTCTAAAAATAAAATTTTCTGAAATAACAGTAGAAGAATTTTGGATTTCAGTTCAAACCGAATTTAAAAAAATTTCTGAAAAAGCAATTTCAATATTATTACAATTTTCAACCTCATACTTATGTGAGCTTGGATTTTCAACACTGACGAATATCAAAACAAAGAAACGAGAAAGGCTGACAAATATTGAAGAGGAAATGAGAGTAGCAATATCGTACATACGGCGAGATATTGAAAATATCTGTAAAAATCATCAGGCACAAATATCTCATACAAAGTATTCGATTTCAAATTTTTAAATTTTTTTTAACTCTTTTTATTATTTTATTATTTTTTAGTGACTAACACTAACATGTATGGCATGCAAACAATTTTATGCTATACATTCATTGTTTAATATATTAAAAAATTAAAAATGTATGTACTACTATTTTATTTTACGGTTGTGTTCCGCGAAAATCTTGTAAAATGTTAAGTGTTCCGTCATTCGAAAAAGGTTAAGAACCACTGGTCTAGGAGGTCAGTCACCCGGCTTGATTTTGAGCGTAGTCTGGCTGCAGGTAGGCAATCCGACTTTGTCGTATAGCGGACGACGTGCAACGGTCTGGTAACACGATGAGGCATGCAATCCGAAAACTGTGACTGAGTGTCTAGCGGTCTCTAATATCTGGTGTAATAATGTGCCTCGCTGTATGCCCGGTTCTGTTTTGTTGACTGTATAAGAAATTAGGAATTGCGAATATTTGTAATCGAATGTCTAGCTATCAATCATCGCTGTATGCAAATCTATGAGTTATAGGGCATCTGTGTATGGCGGATTGGATACATGTCCCGTCACATGCCCTGTTCTTTGGTGCGTGCAAAAAGGATAAATGCATAACGAAAACGGTACAAATTTGTGCGTTTACTGGGCATACCTCCTAACGTCGATAGTCTGATATTGTATTATTGTAGGAGAAAATGTTAAAGCCGAATGTCAATTGAATAAAAAGGTTAAGTAGTCGATTTAAAGGCAACTATACTTCCCATGTATATTTATAGGTGTCTGGTTGCGAACGACCTGTGCATACCAAATGAAATTAAAACGTTCCATAAAGCTAATTAAATGCTCTAAATTACTTATATAGACACATGTAGGTGTGGCGTACCTATCATAACATTATTACTATTCATAAGTACTTAGAGATAAATGAATATATGTGTAGTTTATTGTTTATTACATACAAAAGACATTTCTAAGAAATACAAATCCAAACATACAATATAGTGTAGTTTAATGATGTTTAAAAAAATTAAATTGATTCGTGTGTCGACTGCAATACGTAGAAATCAAACATATTATACATGCAACAAAATTGAAAATCTCTTACAAATCTTGGTCATAGTAGATATATGCTTTTGAAATTATAATAATTTGTGGATGAAACTTACTATTAATCAATTTAAATGTATATGTACATGTGCTACATCAGTTACAAATTAACAATGAATAATAATTAAGTGTTAGCTGTAGGAAGTGTTTTTTTTATACATAACCTAACCTAACTTATATTACAACATATATACCTATAACAGATAATATCATAATTATAAGTTTGCTCAACTCTCCTTTAAAATGGAATGCATAGGCTCGAGCAAATTACTGCTGGTACTATTGGTTAATGAATAATACTAAGGACTACATTAATTGTTAACCAATGGCTTATTGTAGGTAAGGGTAGCCTAAAGGTATATTGCAATAAAATAAGTAAGAAAAAAAATGAAACTTTTCAAATGTAGTTACTAATTAAACATGGGTATCAATTTGTTGAAGTACACAGATATACTGAAGTTAAAGGTAAATAATAATAAAATCGGAGATATATATAATATAATAATAAGTATAATGATACGATGTACAATAGTGTTACGAGGCGTAATATAAATCAACGACTAACTATGTAATATGTATACCCGGCTACACTACACAAGACATTTATGCTGTAGTATTATAAAAATGTATAGTCAGCGTCTGCTGAACTACAGTGTGAATATATTACTTATATACTACATTATATAGGGTGTTTTGTTTATAATTCCAACACTTTCCCTTAAACAATATACCCTTATACATCAATACTTATAACTCCTAACATCTCCCTTAGCTCATTGAACCGCGTTCATGGAGTTGGCTTTGTCATAATGTCCGCAATCTGCTCCTTGCTGGATATGTACTCCAATGAAAAACAATCCCTCATTGAACTTTTCTCTTATATAGTGGTAGCGAACATCTATATGCTTTGTTCTTCTATGAAACTCTGGATTTTTTACGAGTTTAATCGCACTTTGATTGTCTCCATACATTGTTGGCACCATTTTTGGCTGGTCCAGCAATTCACCTAAAAACAATTTTAACCAAGTTAATTCTTGTACTGCTTGACTTAAAGCTATGTACTCTGATTCAGTTGTGCTAAGGCTAACACACTGTTGACGACGTGAACTCCATGCTATACTTCCAGATCCTAATGTAAATACTGACCCTGATGTTGACCTTCTTGTATCCAAGTCACCTGCATAGTCAACATCACTGTATCCCTTTAACATGAGTTTTTGTCTAGAATTAAATATCAATCCAAAATTAATAGTTCCCTTTAAATATTTTAAAATTCGTTTCTCTGCTGTCCAGTGTTGTTCCTTTGGATCCTCGATGTATCTACTAACTAGATTTACTGAAAAAGTTATGTCTGGTCTTGTAATCTGACTGAGATATAATAAGCTTCCGACTGCTTCACGATATGGAACTTTACTAGTTAGATTGGTGTTTTGTTGCTTGTCATCCAATGAATGTTGAGGGTCTGCTGGTATTTGAACTGGATTTGCTTCAGTCATATTGAACTTCTCCAATATTTTTTTACAATACAACCCTTGGTGCATTACAATTGATCCATCAGATTTTTGCAAAATTTCTGTACCTAAAAATTGATTCAATTCTCCTTCGGTAATATTGAAATGTTGTCTCAAATATTCCATTAATGCATTTACATCCTCACTCGATGTAGCTGCAACTAGACCATCATCAACAAATATAGCGACGATTAATACTTTGTTATTTTCTCTATTAACAAAAACACAGGGATCTGCTTTTGTTTCTAATAGATTAAAGTTAAGAAGAAATGTTTTGAACTTTATGTTCCAACATCGTGGTGACTGTTTTAGACCATATAAACTGCGTTGAAGTCTGCACACCATTTCAGTACCATCGTTGAACCCTTCTGGTTGTCTCATGTAAATTTCTTCGTCCAAATCTCCATATAAAAACGCTGTTTGAACGTCAAATTGTCGAAGTTGTAATGGTTCTGCTGTTGATATAGCTAATATAGACCGAATTGAATCGAACTTTACTACAGGACTAAAAGTTTCTTTAAAATCAATATCGAATATTTGACTATACCCTTTTGCTACTAGCCTAGCCTTGTATCGATCAACATGTCCATGAACATTGTATTTTGTTTTATACGCCCAACCACAATTTACAATAGTTCTGTCCTTAGGTAACTTTACGAGAGACCATGTTCCGTTTTGTTCAAGAGATTCCATTTCATTGTTCATGGCTTCCACCCATTTTTTCTGAATTTTGTGACTCCACAGCTTCCTTGAAATTCACTGGATCGGATTCGACTACGAAAAATGCTGAATTATCATAACGTAATGGTTTCTTAATATTACTTCTGTCTCGCAAGTTGTACACGTTGACATTTGACCCATTTCCTTGTTCATGTTCTTGATTTGCATTGTCATCTACACTTATTGGTCCATATTCATTTTCTATGACTTCATCTCCTTCTGGTTTATTGCTGTGTTCTAATGAGCCGTCTTTGTGTAAGCTAAGAACATCAATGTTATTACTATCATTTAAGTTATTAGAACATTCTACAATTTGGTAATTTACAACATTTTCATCCTTGAAAATGACGTCTCTACTAAGTGACACCTCGTTATTTTCTTTATACCAAATACGATACCCTTTTGAAGTTTCTGAATATCCAACAAAGTATCCTTTTCGACTTTTTGCATCCCACTTCCTTCGTCGTTGTTTTGGAACAAAACTCTATGCATTTATTCCAAATTCTACGAACTTTTCTATTTTAGGAAGTTTATCAAACCATAACTCGTATGGTGTTTTACATACTTTCCCTGAATTACCAGTATAATTTAATGAGGACACTACTGTATTGACTGCTTCAGCCCATAGTGATTTTGGAAAATTCATGGCATATATCATTGTTCTGACTGCCTCAAAAATAGTCCTCATTGAACGTTCAGCTTTTCCATTTTGTTCAGGAGTATAAGGTACACTTGTTTCATGCTTTATACCTAGATGATTTAGAATTGATTGAACTTCGAAATTCTTATACTCTAATCCACAATCACTTCTAATAGTTTTAATAAAGTATTTTGTTTGAGTTTTAACCATACTCAGAAAACAATTAAGTTTTTCTTTAACCTCAGATTTATGTTTCATAAAATATACATAAGTATATTTAGAATAATCATCTTTAAATATAATGAAATATGTTTTACCTCCTAGTGAATTCTCTTCCATGGGTCCACATACGTCGCTGTGTATTATTTACACTGGTTCAGTAGTTATTGTTTCGCTCTGAGTGAACGTCTCCTTATGCTGTTTGCCATAGATGCATGGTTCACAGAATAACTGTCCTTGTATATCTGTAAATTGTATTTCATTGTGTTTTAAATACTCACGAACATGTTTGACATTCTGATGACATAGTATTTTGTGCCAGTGTTCTAATGTTAATTTCTTAACTGCAACGTTAGCACAGTGTCCAATTTCCTGTGAAAAATCAGTTTTGATTAGCATTGTAAACAATTTATTCTCACGAACACCGACTGCAATTACACGATTATTAATTTTAAATGAGCAACCTTTACTGTCTGTCACCATTGTAATTCCTTTATCAAGGCATGCCCCACAAGAAAATAAATTTACCTTTGGATCAGGTACATATAAAACATTTTCTAAGTAGCCTTTTATCCACTTATTGTCAACATAAGTATAAATATTTAGGTTACCTTTTCCGACTGCCATAATGTGCTTACCATCTCCAATACGTACAAGCGAATGCACATCAAAATGTTTATAATCGACGAACCACTCTTTTCGATTTGTCATGTGGTCGCTCGCACCTGAGTCTACATACCATTTGTCTGAGTCGTCGATTTCTTCATTTTTTCTTTGTACACCAATAAGCTCCAAACCAGAAGTTGATTTCTTTTCTTCTTGTTCCTTTTTGAATATCCTGCAGTCCCTTTTCCAATGTCCTGGTTTTTTACAGTGATTGCATTTTCCTGGTTTTGTATTATCATTTTTGTTCACGTATTTTTGACTTTTATTATACTTGCCTTTGGTTGCAGTCAAAGCACTACTTTCAGCGCCATCGTCACGGACCTCCTGTCCTTGCACTTGTCGTATTTCTTCCACCATCAATCGAGTGGTTAACTGTTCTAGCGTTCTATTTGCACTATTCATTGAGTCACATGCACTGTAGAAGTGCCTATAGCTATCAGGTAATGTCATCAAAATTTTTGTAATCAACATTGATTCTGAGATAGGTTCTCCCAATTGTTTTAGTTGTCTACTTAGATTTTCTAATTTTGAAATATGACCTGCTATATTGTCTTTTGGATCCATTGTATAACGATAGAACTTTTGTTGTACTATTGTTATGCTTGTGTCCGACATCTGTTCGTACACACTAAGTAATTTGTTCCACATACCATTTGCTGTGTCACAGTTCATAATGTATTGTAGAGGTTGTTCATCTAACGATGTGACGATATATTTTTGAGCCTTATTATCTGCCCTTTTCCATATTGAAAAATCAATAAATTATTATAAATAATAATAAAATCGGATATATATATAATATAATAATAAGTATAATGATACGATGTACAATAGTGTTACGAGGCGTAATATAAATCAACGACTATGTAATATGTATACCCGGCTACACTGCACAAGACATTTATGCTGTAGTATTATAAAAATGTATAGTCAGCGTCTGCTGAACTACAGTTTGAATATATTACTTATATACTACATTATATAGGGTGTTTCGTTTATAGTTCCAACACAATTAATGTTATTATATTTATTTTAATATAACACATTAAACTCAATAGGTACAATTAAAATTATAATAATAAATACAAATTATGTAAAGTAGTATATAAATTATATGTATAATACATTTGTGCATGCCAACCACATAAAAATGATGACAAATAATACAATATTTAATATTTTAAGGATAGTTACACTATTTGAGGAAGCATATATATATAATATATAATATATCACATGTATATGTAGCTTTCTTGTTTTGAAAGTTGTTTGAAATATTTTAAAAAATAATATTAATATGTGTAAGCCAATGTAAAGGTTAGTATATAATATAAAAATATAAGGTGTGAATTGCAGTAATTAAACTTGGTAATACATATTGTTACATGTATGTTTTAAGAAATTAACATTGTCTTAACAATCGACACACCAAGCTCCTACTAAAACTCTTAGCTTTTAAATAAATGTACTGCAAAATGTCTATCCAATTTGTGCATTCAAACTACTTATATACTTATTATAATAATGAAAGTATGTGCATTCTCATAACAGTGTACCTTTATTTATTGTACATTACATTTGCTTAGGTAGGTTAATTTTTAAATTATTAAATTAAATAATTATTATATTTCAAAGTATATATATATGCATGTAATAATAATAGTAACATTTACAATTTATTAAGCGAATATAATAATAACGTTTTAGAAGATAGGTTTAAAACGGTGATAGATTGGTGATAGGATAGGACAGGGTGGTGTGTGTTTATTAATAATATATATAAATCATGTATAATACATTTTTGCATGCCAACAACATAATAAAAATGTTGACAAATATTACAATGTTTTAAGCATAGTTTTAATTTAAATTCAATTTATTATAATTTTATAACATATAATATGTATATGTAGTTTTCTTGTTTTGTTTGAAATATTGCAAAAAAATTAATATGTGTAACCCAATGTAAAGGTTAGTACAGGTATAAGGTGCGAATTGAAGTAATTAAACTTGGTAGTACAATATATTAGTATATATATGTAATAACATGTATGTTTTAAGAAATTGAAATGTATTGAATTTATTGTAGTCTTTTCATGTTTACTTATTATTACTTACATTATTATGTATGTAACGACATTGTCATAAACAATCGACACACCAAGGTCCTACTAAAACTCTTAGCTACAATAGTTAAATGTACTGCAATACTCATGAAAAATGTCTATCTAATCTGTGCATTCAAACTACTTATATTTTTAATATTTTTAAAAATTTTTAATTGCGGCTTCCACAACGCCCGGAATCGACTTACACAGGCAGCTAGTAAATATAAAATTTGCATAGGTACGATAAAAATAATAAAATTCAAAATAATAACATTTAAAATTTATTAAAGCGAACATAACATTTTAGAAGATTTTAAAGATTTTAAAAACAATTATTATGTAGTAGGTAGTAATGCAAAGAAAAAATTGAAAAAAAACAGTTTTTTGAATCTCGAGCACTTGAACCGTTACTGAATTTTTCGTTTTACATATTATATATTACACATGGAAATGTCACAATTTTTGTAAAATAAATAAATAATATTATAATATATGGAAATACGGAATAACTCGGGAAAATAATATTATTCAAAAATATTCACGTTAATAACGAAAAGGGAGATAAGCGAGCGAAATAGCGGGAAGTATTATTATTGGTCGTCATGGAAGAAACGCGGAGTGCCGTCAGCGCATCTTATAAGACTTGATTTGGGCGTTTGTCATCCCGCCTACGGCGGAAAGACTGTGTGGGCGGTGGTGCATCTTTGTCGTTTCGCCTCAGGCTGGGTTTTTTGATCCGGCCTGCGGCGGGAACGCGGGGTCATTGGGTATTGTGTTTTGTCGTTTTGGCAGCACTGGTTAAGCGGTAATTTTTGAACTTGGAAGAGTGTCTAGTCGTAAATCAGGCGATTCAAGTCTATTGTACGACACAGCCAGCCAGGTAGGCCATCCGAGGATCGCAGACGACGCCCCGGGCGTGTATGTCCGGTTCAGGAGTGTGTGTGTTGAAATCAGAAATTCGGATTCTGAGTTTGAGTGTCTAGCTATCAGTCATCTCGGGTGAAAGACGATTCCCGAGTGTCGGATGCAGTGGGTGTGTAAGTCGCTCGTATGCAAGTAGCTAGTCAGGTAGGCAATCCGGCTACGTCGGATCGCAGACCATGCCCTGGGCGTGTATGTCCGGTTCTCGTATGTATGTTGAAATCGGAAATTCGGGTTCTGAGTTTGAGTGTCTAGTTATCAGTCATCTCGGGTGAAAGACGATTCCCGAACGGACAATCCGCCTACAGCGAAAAGTGCTCGAAACGGCCGTTCAAATCTGAAAAAGCATAGAGGAGGTAACAAAATTGTATTTTTAGATAATTATAGAGAACAGTTATCAGGTGTAGGCTTCATTGTAATCAATGTAATCATTGTTATGTTTTCGCGGTTATAACAAATAAGTCGACAAAATCTAATTTTCTGATCGGCTGCTATTTTTACCGCGTCAAGAGACATCTAATGCATTGCCAGCTGCATGTTGTTTGGTTTTTATCAATCATTTCTCAAAACATCTTTGAAGTGAGTACACGTCGCTTATAGTATTAAAATAATATTTCTTAGGTTATGTATGTTTCATACGTATTTGAATAAAACAATTTTTTTTTTTTAAATCTAGCATGTCGAAAGACGTCAGCCACTAGTACAACGGCCGTGGTATGCGGGTGTACAATGCACACGTGTACCACAATGCTGTCCCCGTGCGGCGTCCGGGAGGAAACGCCCGACGTAAGTATCTTATAGAAAAAAGCACATGCGTATTGCATAAGCCAAGTATAATGCCGGGTTCACACTATTGCAATTTCTGGTATGCTTTTCCCGCATGCTTATTTTTACTCGTGCAAGAACAAAATTGAACAAATGTGAACGTTGATAATACGCATGCAAGTTCTTGCATGCTCAAACTTGCATGCAGTCCGGCATGTCGGACAGTAATTGAATGTAATTAGGTAATTTAATTGTATGCCAGTTTATTCTCAAACACGAATAGTGAACCACGTGGATGTGATTGTGTTTTATGAATTTTGTTTTAAGTTTATTTGTTAAATAATTTAATTTTTAAACACTGAAATGGCTACTTCCAAATCAAAGTATAGTTTGAACGAAGAAAATGTACTGAAATTAATTACTTTGTATCGCCATCATGAAGTACTATGGAACGTAAAACTGAGCCAATATAAGAACAAAGATGCACGGAACCAGGCATATAAAACGATTTCTGAAGAAATGAATGAACCTAATTTTGGACCATCTGATGTTCCAATAAAAATAAAAAATTTACGTACGGGCTACCACCAAGAAAAAAGAAAAGTAGAGGATTCAAAAAAGTCTGCATCAGGTGCCAACGATGTGTATAAACCAAAAGTATTTTGGTTTGAAGCACTTGATATATTTTTGCATCCGGTTGTCGAATCAAGGAAAACTCATTCTAATTTGGTAATTTTTTAATATATTTCACTACCAAAATTTAAATAAATTAAATTACATAAATACCAATAGTAAATACTAAATTTATGTATAATATAATATTAGAATTTAGTATAATATACTAGGTATATTATAGGTCCGTGAAGTTGGTCGCACAATGTCAAAATTTTAAAAAATGTAATACGTAACTAATACAAACATAACAATAATATTAATTAATATATATGTTAGCGGCAATGTGTATAATATTGGTATTTTATATAATGTCTAGGAATTCTATATACCACCAAATACAGCTGGAAATCTATAAAATTGTTTAAATTACCTAAGCATTATATGAAATGCCAAACAATGTATAGGTAATATATTAAATCCATATAATCAGTACCTATTGATATTTGACAATATATAAATCCATTAGTAATCTGTAATCTGTAATCTATAAAGTAGAATTCCGACTGCCGACAGATAACGCGATAATTTTGTCACCGTAGTCATATTATACTCTTATACTATTTTATCATTTACATTTCAGTCTTTGACAAAATGTCGTGCGTGGAGAGTCGAGTGCGTGAAATGAAAGTTCGTTTTAACGCCGAGTTATTTAAGCGTCAATGTGAATTGAAAAATAGTGTGTTTTTAACTGATGAGCGATATTATCAATTAATTAAAGATGTTGATAGTGCTAAATCGAAAACAAAAAAAAAGAGCCGCGTGACTATTGGTTACTTAAAAAATATGATATTTTGGTCGTTAATAATAATAGTAAATTAATTTATCCTGTTAAAAATAATGATAACAATATTTTATATTATATAAAAGAAAGTGACGTTTTTGATGTGTTACATGATGCTCACCAATCGTTAGGACATGGAGGACGAGACAGAATGTTGTATGAGCTTAATAGTAAGTTTAAAAATATTACGCGCTTCGAAGTAGATCTTTATTTGTCATTATGCGAACTGTGTCAATTAAAACACAAAAAAATTAGAAAAGGCTTAGTAGTGAAACCCATTATTTCTAGTGAATTTAATAGTCGCTGTCAAGTTGATTTGATCGATTTTCAATCAAATGCTGATAAACTTTTTAAATTTATAATGGTATATCAGGACCATTTAACTAAATTTGTCGTCATAAAACCACTAAAGACAAAAACTGCAGAAGAAGTGGCTTATAATTTAATTGATATTTTCACTTTACTTGGAGCACCTTCTATATTACAATCCGACAACGGTCGTGAATTTTCCAATCAAATTGTTTGTAACTTGAAAAATTATTGGCCCAATTTAAAAATCGTTCATGGAAAACTTCGACATTCCCAAAGTCAGGGAAGTGTCGAACGGGCAAACCAGGACATTCAAAATATGTTGATGACATGGATGAGGGACAATAATACTTCAAAGTGGAGTGAAGGTCTAAAATTTATTCAACTGATCTAGCGAAACCACAGCTGCCTACTGTGAGTTTCGCGACCGTGGACGCACGGTATAGATCGCGTCCCCAGGTTGCGGATAGGGGGAAACCCGGTTCCCTCGGTTCGCCGAGTCGGGCAGCCGGCGAATAACTAATACCCGGCCGTGGACAGCTTCGATCAAATGACCCGTAGTTCCGGACAGTATGTCCTCTGGGCCGGTTCACGGTCGCCTGTTGGGCCACCGACCCAGCCGGTGGTGCTCTTAATACGAGTTGAGAGCCCGGGCGTCTCAGTGTAAGCCGGGTTCGGGCATGTCTCCGGGACACAGCGGTGAGTGTTGCGGGCTCGCGGCTGAAGGCTCGTCTGCTTAGAGTCCCTAAGTCGGTAGGCGAGGGTGGTCGTCGCAAATAGTCCCACCTTTGACCGAAAGGTAGGGCTGTCGTCAGTTTGGGCAGGGCGCCACGGCTCGGCAGGCACCGGATCGGGACGTTCGGCCAGACCGACCCAAAAAACGGGTCCTTGCTGATGACGGCTCGAAAGGGTGGTGGCCAAGATTAAATTCGCACCTCGCGGACGCTCGTCCGCGGTTAAGGCAAACCAATGCCCGTCTTGCCGGACAGAACTGGTAGCTCTCGAGGGGGTGAGAGTCTGACTGAAGACGCTTCAGTACCACGGGAGTGAGTGGGGCCCCGTCGGCAACGACGCCGCTCACCGCGGGCGCCCAGTGATGGTTCACGCCCCTGGACGTCCGTTGCCGGTAGGAATCGTGGTGGCGGTTAAGACTTGCGGTTAAGTCAATAGATACTTTCTCTAAGTTCTCGCTGACAGGCGAAAACCTCTGATGAACGGCCGCCACGACCCGGGGGCGCGAGTCTCCGGTTCGTTGTCGGTTCCTCTCGGGCGTCTAGCCGCTATACCGGTGTAGTATCATCGGAGGTTGGGTGTAACCAGAAACACTCGGTGTGGAGATAGCACACAGCCAGACCAGGCGAATTCAGGCGGCACTTGGCCTGTCTTCTTGGTACGGGACCTCGGTCCCGGTGCTCGTGGTCCATAGACGACGCGCGGCCGGCGGACTGGGCCACCGTACGTCGACCGTGAACCTCCGCGGCTCTCGACTAGCGCACAGCGCTAATGTGAGGTCCGCGGTTGTAGCCGCTAGGCACCAAACCCGGGAGTCTTCGTGATGAAAAATCGAGCTTATCATAAAGGTATAAATAGGTCACCTTACGAAGCACTTTTTGGTTGTAAAATGAAAGTTGGTTTAGATACATCATTTCTACCACCATATATTTTAAAAGATTTAGATGATGAAGAGAGCTTTCTTAAGTTGGTAGATCACAATTCCATTGGCCCAACTAATCAAGATGAGGAAAATAATATTACCAAAGACGAAGATAATAGCACGTCGATCGACGAAGATAATATCACGTCGATCGACGAAGATATTTGTACAGTTGATAATAATATAAATACGGGAAATTCTAAGGACGACGAAAATATTGCTACCAATAGTAGGTAGATAAAGAGAGTTCAAACAGCTCATTCTGCTGGCTCATCCCTATACCCGTATGCTCATCCCATTACACCGTCTGCTCATGGCACTATACCCGTCTGCTCATCCCACTATACCCGTCTGCTCATCCCACTATACCCGTCTGCTCATCCCACTATACCGTCTGCTCATCCCTATACATTGACGGCTGATGAACCCACCATATATCACACACGATGTACCCCCGCCACCCCACCACCTATGACCACCGCGCGTGGAAAATAATTTAAAAATTTATCCGCCGGACCGTGATTCGAACCCGGTTAACTTGCATGACAAGCGACAACCGTACCACTGGGCCGCCTACTCGCATCTGTTTGAGAAGGTATATTCTATCTCATTTAACCGGCGTCCGCTTACGTACGCGAGGTATAATTTCCCCCACCACTATACCATTTACCCCCTCCCGATTAACCTGTAGGGACTTTTCGATGTCTCCCCCACCAATTAATATTTAATTTGCTCGTTTATGAACACAACTACACAACATAAATTCAGTCACTCTATATAATCGTTCCAAGTGTTTCGCGTGTGCTTGTCTCATATTCAGTGTTAAAATCATATTTATTTCTCAGTGCGTAAAATAAATATGGCTGGTCCAATTGAAAATATGGAAAATATATACAAGAAAACTTACAAATATACACCACCATCGCCGCCAGCTAATCTGATCGATTGTACTACATTCTTTATTGATAGCAATATTTTTATAAATATAGGATTAGATCCTGATTTTTTGTTTAATTGCGTTATATACATCTCAAATAACTCGCAGTGTGTTAAAATGAGTATTGAATTCTATAAATCTCTAATTAATATAGCTCTTAACTACATCAATTTTTCACTTCCATCTCATTTAATGCTGAAGGAGCTTAAATTGGCTTCAGTAGATAAATACAACGGTGACAACGTTCTATCGATAAAGTGTTTGCAACAGGATCAACATGTACGATTAACTAAAGCAAATGTTTCGAGGATCTTGCAATTAAATGATGCCGTGGAAGAAGTTATTCAGATGAAAAATATATATATACGGCCTAGTGTATTAGGTCAGTCCTGTGGTATTTCAAGGTATCTTGGAAAGGAAATGCCGTTACCCAAAGATACAAAAATAAGCGAAGCTGAAGATTATTTATACCGTATCGATGTCCAAGAATTGAAAAAACAACTTAAGTTAACTGGTCGTTGTTTCGTAGCAGATTTGAAAATCAAGGCAGTCAAACAATTGGCAAGGGGATGGTTAGCTTCTTCGAACGAAATTGAGGTAATACGATTTTATTTTTACATATTATTTTATACTAAAGAAAACAAATTTTTTTAGTCTGAAGTAACCAGACCGAGGACGAGGGCATTCGTAGCACGTGAAACCGCAAAAGCAGCCCGGAGATTAAGTTTTCGTTAAGAATGTAATATTTTATTGTAATATGTAATTTTTATATTGCTGTCAATAATTTGTATTATGTAATTTTTATATTGCTGTAAATTATTTAAAAACGTGAACCATTAATGTAATATTTTATTGTAATATGATATTTTATTACTTATAATAAAAAAAACAACGTGATATTTAAAAAAGTATTTTTATTTTACAAATTATTTACAATTTCCTTAAGATATATAAGTAGAGCAGATTGTTGTAATATATTGTGTAAAATAAAGAACTAAAAAAAAACATTAAAGATATGGTACATTATCACACATATCTAAAAATATTAGACCATTTTTAGATTATAATCCCATTCAAATAAACATCTCGCTAAAGCATACACCGGAATGTATCCCAAATATATTATAATATAGTTTACATATATAGGTACATACTTACATAATTTATATCCAAACAATAATTATATTATACTCATCATTATCACAAACTCCTGATCATATTATACAATTTACATAATATATACGATACTTAGGTATATTTATACATATAAATATGATATGACCAAACACTTAAAAACTATAATATACTATGAAACACACGATACCATACGGTACTCATCAGTTTTCATTCTGAACACACGCTCAACATATATATATATATACCTTATCATACATACAAGCATGCATACACACACACACACACACACACACACACACACACAAACAAGCCACCCACTCCTTTATTCATTCAATTACATATGAACTCTTATACACATACATACATACATATATACATAAATTCAGTCACTCTATATCGTTCCAAGTGTTTCACGTGTGCTTGTCTCATATTCAGTAGGTTAGTAATGGTTTGAACACTATACCATACGGATATTAGTACACCCGATATATAGGACAATTCGACGACCCTGTATTTTGTCACGTGACGGGGATCAGTGGTGGCGGCGGCGGCGGTAGGGATTTTTGAATGAATGAATAGTCGCTATTCATTACTGTCCTCAGTTGGTGTTATAGTGCTCTATTACCTACATCTCGTTCGCTCTATGCTAATACTACGCACGTAATTATTATATAACGTATTAATTTTTTCTTATCCGTTTATTTTAAAATGTTTAAATGCGAGCAATGTTCTTTGGGATTCGTATACGAGTCAAATCTGATCGCTCACCGAAAAACACATTCGAAATTGTTCAAATGTAGCAAATGTGCTTCGGAATTTACAGCGAAACGTAATCTAACAAGACACCAAAAAACGCACGATGGTATTCGTATACCGTGTATTAGGTGCGGCATTACGTTCAGTTACAAGACCAACCTCAAACAACATTTGAAAAATGTTCATGGTATGTACCTATTTTCTATATTCACTTTAAATATTTATTTCAATTTTGTCATCAGGTATAGTACAGATCGCGCCACACGTTTTTGTACCAAACTTGCAACCTGGTACATCATCCGTTCATAAAGATCGCGTATCAACTACACGAGATAATCAAAATGTTCGCTTATCACCCATGCGAGATAACATGGCGGATGTATTTACGAGTAACGCGAATGAATGCTGGGAGGTTCTCGACACCGCCGATCTTCTCGGGCAAAATGATCGCTTATCACCCATGCGAGATTACACGAAGGATGAATTTTGGAGTAATGCGAATGATGATTTATGCTTGGAAGTTTTGGACACCGTTGAGAATCTTGGACTTTATGATTTTCAAGGTTAGCTATTTCTTTTTATAAACGCGTCATAGATTAATTTTTTTTTTTTTTTTCTAAAGATTCATACACTACACTCGATAATGGTAAACGTGTTTCCAGCGCCAACACTCAATCCGCTGTTAGGGCAAAAAAAATACGTCTGAATCTCGTAAAGTCTCCAGGGTTTACAAAAATATCTACATCATCAAACAATACTATCACCTGGTACTACGTAAAAAACACCAATAATATTCAAAACTATACATACTTCCTCGATTCGATCAAATCTGAACTAGTTAATTTACTAAAATCAATTGCAAGTAAAAATCCGATCAAGTTTAATTTAAAGCTTGAAGCGACATATAATATACCAAATGTTGAATATTCGTCGGAAAACCGTGCTTTTAAAACTTCGGCTAAGGCAGTTTTCTGTGATACTGGAGTACAGGAAATTGTTGAAGAGGCATTTACTAAATTAATGAAAGAGCAAGACGAGTATGCAAGCAAGGGTAGTGGTTTCACATTACAATGTATTGACGGGTTAATGCTGGGTATATATAAATATACACCTATGGGCGGTTCCTCTTATATAACACTTCCAGTGGACATTAAAAATAAAAAAGCTGTGATTAACCCTCAAAACTTAGATATGCAATGCTTCAAGTGGGCAATTCTAGCAAAACATGTTACAGGAGAAAATAAATGCTGTGTTGGTGATAATTATTTAAAACACGAGAAAAAATATAATTTTTCTGGTTTAACATTCCCAACACCACTACATAAAGTTAAAATTTTTGAAAAAAATAATCCAAACGTGTCTGTCAATGTTTACGGTATCGAGAAGAAATTTCAACCGCCAAAATTTCCGGAATATAAAGTTTTTCCTCTTAAAGTAGTAGATGAAGAAAAACCGGATCATTTTGATCTACTTATAACATCAGACGAGGATAACAGTCATTATAGCTATATCTCTAATTTTTCACGGCTCATCAGGTCACAAAAAACTAGACATAACGGACAAGCAATTTTCTGCAAACGGTGCTTTGCAAAATTCGATAAACAACAATACAAATATAAATTAAACGGTGAGGCAGGGCTAGAGCAACATAAATTAATATGTGGAGAACATAAACCTATACTAGCTCAGATGCCTGAACCTGGTACAATGCTCGAGTTTACTGCATGGAATAAAACGCAACGTCATCCTATAGTAATTTATGCAGATTTCGAAGCAATTCTTAAGAAAACTGATGAGAAAATTGGAGAAAAAACAGCAGCTTTTCAACAACACGAGCCCATGAGCTATGGACTTGTGGTTAAAGCAAATGAAGACATACCAGTAGAACTGCTCGAAAAATTTGAAATTCCAACATCTCCTGTAATTTACCGTGGAAATGAAAATAATAAGGACGTTGCCGGACATTTTGTGGATAGTATTGTGGAAATAGCCAAAAAAATTGAAGAGTTACTCAAAACAAACATTCCTATAATTTTCACAGACGAACAACGGAGAACACATGCATTATGTAATAATTGTAATTTATGTAAGGTCAAGTTTTCCCTAGAAAATCATAAAGTGGCAGATCACTGCCATTTATCAGGGAAATTTAGACAGTCACTATGTAATACGTGTAATCTTAAACTCCAAACACCTAGCTTTGTACCGGTATTTTTTCATAATTTAACGAATTATGATTCACATTTTATTGTCACTCGTCTTGGTTATGACGCACATTCAATTTCAGTGATACCAAACAGTGAGGAAAAGTTTATAACGTTTTCAAAATATATTAGCAACACTTTCACAATAAGATTTATAGACACATTAAGATTTATGTCCGCAAGCTTATCAAAACTTTCAAAAA